ATCCATATATATACATAATATATATATATATATATATCCATATATATACATATATATACATATATCCAACTCTATATATATATAGCGAACAAAATCTTACTAAAAATGGTGTGCTCTTAGAAGATCTTTTTTAGGCTTCATTTAGATCTACTACACTTTTCTAACTTAAATGAACATAAAAAAAAAGTCTTTTTTCCTACATTTCATCGACATAACCTGACCTAGCCTGACCTGTCTCAACCTACCCTAACCTACCCTAACCTGGACTGACCTACCTCAACCTGACCCGATTTGGTTAATCAGAACCTAAAATGAAAAATTCAAAATGTGTAAGATTTAATGAAGATGTTACTCTTCATGTTCTGAATGATGCTGATGAAGATAGGAAAGGTTATTGGATAAGCGATAGAATGTGGTTTCAGAAACGAATTCGTGATGTAGAAATGATTCTTAAACCATTTCTTGAATTGAAAATTAACAACATGGAGAGAAAACAACAGAAGGGAATAAAAGAGGAAGGTGGTATAAGTATAAATACTCCTACTTCAAACGGTTGAGTTAGTAGTAGTTAAATTTTCTCCAATCTCTCAACATTGTTGTAGGTTAATAGAAATATTACGCATTCGTGGAAAGCAAAAAAAGTATAAATGTTTGAAAAAGAATCAAAACTTATCAGTCGTAATAGAGCTTTGAAAAGAAAGAAACGGTATCAAAGTGTGGCTGTTGGTTCAGGAATTGTAAATTCTATTATTAATAAATTACCATTTGAATTGCACATTCCTGGATATCGGTTTTGTGGTCCAGGAACCACTTACTTACTTTAAAAACGACTAGAGCGAGGAGATCGTGGTATTAACAAATTAGACGAAGCTTGCAGAGAACACGATATTGCTTATAACGAGCATCAAGATTTAGAAAACAGACATAAAGCTGACCGCATTCTACTCGAGCGAGCAAAAGAAAGAAGACTTGCTGCTGACGCTTCTTTTGGCGAGAAAGCTGCTGCTTTAGGTGTTTCAACAGCAATGAGTGCCAAATTAAAACTTGGAATAGAATGTTCTAATAATACTAAAATGAATGAAATACAAAAACGCCGACGACGAAGATCACGAATTGGTAAAGTGAAAAAATCAGGAAAAGGACTAATTAAATTTAGTGATTTAATAGGCAAAGCGAAAAACACTTTAAATTGTGGAAAATTTGATAATATGAACAGTGCTATAGGTGCAGCAATAAAAGCTGTAAAACAACTTCGAGGCAAAAAAAGTACATCCAAAGAGAGTGATCCCGGTACCGAGGACTGGTGGTGCACTGCCTCTTTTACCAATTTTTGCTGTTTTGGGGGTTCTAGGTTCTTTGGGTGGTGGTGCCGCAGCCGTTGCCAGAGCCGTCAACCAAGCGAAGGTTGCTAATGAGCAACTTAAAGAAAGTAAACGTCACAATCAGGCAATGGAAGCTGTTGCCATAGGAAAGAACAAAGATGGAAATGGACTTTATTTGAAACCATATAAAACAGGTCTCGGTCTTTTTTAGATCATTCAAAATTTCCAAAAAAATACCGATAAAGCTTCCCAAACGTCCTCTTACCGATATAGATCTATGTAAGTATTGTAAAATGTTAAAAATTCGGAATTTTAGAGGTATTTTTATGAGAGATTTGTTACCTAAAGGTGTACGAATCAATGAATGTGGAATACTAAATTTAGATGATGATAGTGGTAGTGGTACAAACGTGGACGTGGAGCTATCTATTTTGATAGTTATGGTAATCTTCAACCACCTAAAGAATTGGTTAAATATTTAGAAAGCAATGGATCATGTAAAATCTTATACAATCATGAGCAAATTCAAAAATATGGTACGGTTAATTGTGGACATTTATGTCTTCAATTCTTGTACAATAACAACAACTACAAATGCAAGTAAAAGAAGAGAGATTCTCGTATTACATTCGTTCTCATATTGCTCTGCAAGGTGAAACGTTATATAGCAACTTGCTATATAATCTAAAACCTTGCAACGCTCACAACGACCTTTCAAAAAATGTGCATATCAATGTAACAAACAGTCGTTGTAAAAGGAGTATTTAAAGACGTAAAATTATCAGAGGCACTCAGTGATAGTATTCATTTCCTTGTGGTAAGCAAGGTTGTTTAATACGTGTTACCTCTACTAACCTATATACCAATGAGATAAAATGTCAATGACATTTACTTTAACTGGAAACAGTTCAGTTTTAATGTCTGAGTATAGTCCATCAATAACGTTAGAAAATGATAGCAGTTATGTGATTGGATTAACTAACCTAGAAACTTATAATTCATTTCCGAATATTGATTACACAAATAATAAGTTCTTTTATATAAGTGAAGATAATGAAGAGGTATGTATAGAAATACCTGAAGGATCTTATGAAATTACTGATATTAATACATATCTTAATAAAGAAATTGTTAAAAAATATTATCATATCCAACAACAAGATGAAGAAAAAAAGAGTAAGAATGATGTTAATCCTATAATACTTGTTAGTAAAGATACTACAGAACTAGTTGATGATGCAAATAATAACAACATTCATGAAGGGAGGACACCTATTTTATCAATAAAATCAAACCCAAATACGTTAAAAGTAGAAATTAAATCAACCATAACAATTGATTTCACTAAAGAAAATACCATAGCTAGTAWATTAGGCTTTACATCAATTATGTTAAAACCTAATATAAAACATATTTCTCCTTTACCTGCTAAAATTCATAAAGTAAACGCTTTATGCGTACATTGCAATCTAGTATCATCTTCATATAGAAATGGAAAAGCAGTACATGTTTTACATGAGTTTTTCCCAACTGTAGCTCCCGGATATCGAATTGTAGAAGCGCCAACTAATGTTATCTATTTACCAATTAATCGAAATGAAATTCCTTTATTGGTTTTTAAAATAACGGATCAAGATGGAAATGTAGTCAATTTTCGTGGTGAAGCCATCACGGTAAGGTTGCATCTTAAAAAGCTCCTCTCATCATAAAACAAAAAATTATGGGATTAGTTTTTGATTCCTACCGTAAACGGTTTAATATCAATCAAAATTATATAAATACGTCAACAAACATTAAATTAGTCGACATCGTAGACTAAAACGATTAACATCGAAAAACAGGAACTTTCTTAAATCTCTCGGTTTAAGTGTATTAGTGTAAACTTCTCGTACGTGTGTGTGCGTGTATTTAAATAAGTATCCATAATGAACTTTGAAATATTAAATGTAAATGAAAAAGCTGTTTTTGATACATCAATAAGTTATGCTGAAAAACGTACGCATCAACCATAAATATTACATCAGGATCTAAAAATAATGGTGATGTCATGAACTAAAAATAGCGATGAAATCAGGGGATTCCCAATATTTGTCGTAGGGGATTTACCCTGTTGTAATATGAAACGAAAAAAAATATTCACATTTTTGGTATCGGATTACATTTTTTGCAAGATCAGCATTTTTTTTGTATCGAATTACATTTTTTGCTTGATCAGCAAAATTTTTGCATAATCAGCATTTTTGGGTATCGGATTACATTTTTTGCAAGATCAGCAAAATTTTTGCATAATCAGCATTTGTGGGTATCGGATTACATTTTTTGCTGCCATCAGCAAAAAATCTGCAAAATCAGCATTATTTTTTTTTTGGTGCGAAATCAGCAAAATTTTTGCAAGATCAGCACATTTTCCCACAAATTTCCCCACTCTGATTTACCCCCAAGATGGTGGATATGTTTTCTTTAAGATCTTATAAAAGCTTTAACGGCACTCAAAGTTATCATTTTATGAAGAAAGTCAGTTGGGTGAAGTGAACAATATAGTGAATAAAAATGGAAAAACTACGTACCTCAGCAAATAAAGTAAGTTTTATATTGATTTTAATTATTTTAAAAAAAATATCTATCAGAAAATATAATATATTTATCATTTTTTACTTGAGTTTAATATTTTTTTATATTTCTTACAGATAAAGAGACACTTTCGTTCTCATCTTTCGCTGAAGAAYCCTCCACAACCACAAGAAAATGTAAGTTTTTAAATTAGTTTTGGTTAATTTTGAAAAATATAATATAATATGAACATTTTATTTTTGTAATATAATTTTTCTTTTAACTTTAATGAATATTTTTTTTAATTTTTTTTTTTTTTTGCAGATCGTTATTGATCTCTTAACACCTGCCCCCGAAAAGACRCCAGCGGGTCAAAAAGAATTTGAAGAGATGCTATTGGGGGTAGGTGAAGATTTCACCATTTTGGGTGAGTGGGAAGAAATATTGGCAAATGTTGAGGAACAACCGAAAATTATAGTGCATCAGGATAAGGTTATCAAACCAGCTCCTGCTCCTGCTCTTGCTCCTGCGCCTGCTCCTGCTCCTGCTCCTGGGCAATCGACTAAGGGCCTAGGAGCAGGAAGAAAAAACCTCAACCTCATTAGGGTTGAGGTGGATGAGGAGGAGGAGACTGAAGAAGAACAACCCACTCAACCCGAAATGGAGTTTATGCAATTGGTTGAGGAGGAAGACTTTCGGGTGGAGCTTCGGGGAATTAAAAGAAAGTTAGAAGAAAAAGTCGAACGACTTAAACATCACCGAAGCTTCGCCCAAAAAATTCTGCAAAATTTGAATACAGAGGAAGAGGAGGTGATGGCTCGGATGAACCGAGAATTGTCTCAAATTAAAAAGAGGCGTCAAGCCATCAACTCTATCATCGAGAAACAGGTGGAAGAGGAACGAATCGGTGAAACCTTGATAAATAACATTAATTTTTAATTTTTTTATTGTAGGTAGTTAGTGTTTAGTGATAGTTAGTGTTTAATTTTTATTTTAGTGTTTATTTTTTATTTTTTATATTGTTAATTTTTTCTTTTATTTTATTTTAGTGTTAATTTATTCTTTTATAAATTTTAAGTTTTATAATAAATAGTGTTTACTAGTATATCTACCTTTTATTTTCCCATCAGAGGTTCATTGACTGAAAAGTGATATAGTTGAGAGGTAATCGAAACTCAGATCGTTGCATTCAGAAGCGTTTACAAACAGAGCCATTGTAGACATTTAAAAATAAAAAACCTCTACGTTACGCTTTAGTTGCTAGTTGTTCGTCATCATGCGAGTAATAAAACAAAAAATTAAACTTCCAATAAATATCAGTGATTTTGATATTTCTATGAACCAAAATCGAAGACATGGTGATTTATTACCTTCATCCATTCGATGTTTAATTGTAGGTCCAAGCAATTGTGGTAAAACTAACCTAATTATTAATCTTATTGAACAGATGAATAGTCTCAGATTTGAAAATTTATACATTTATTCAAAATCTTTATATCAACCCAAGTATCAGTATTTGGAAAAGCTTGTAAAACCCATAAAAGGTTTGAGCTATTTTGCATTCAGTGGTTTAGAAAACAATCTTCCGCAGCCGCATGAAGCAAAACCAAATTCTATATTTATATTTGATGATGTAGCCTGTGATAAACATTATGAAAGCATATTTTACTATGGGGCGACATAAAGATATTGATTCGTTTTACTTATGTCAAACTTATTCACATGTACCGAAGCATCTAATTCGTGATAATGCTAATTTAATCGTTCTTTTCAAGCAAGATAACCTAAACTTACGACATGTATATGATGATCATGTAAATACTGATGTATCATTCCATAGATTCAAAGAAATGTGTTCAATGTGTTGGAAGAATAATTATGGATTTTTAGGGATAGATAAAGATAGCGATATTAATAATGGAAGATACAGAATAGGATTTGATTTGTTTATTGATCCTCAAAACAAATAAAAGCTCAATACACGGTTTTACTACATTTTAGTTATAATTTGACGTTCTTATTGTAAAGTCATCATCTACACAATATCTTTTAGTGTGTGCATTTAGTAGGTAATTTATAAATAATATGAATACAGAGGCATTGCAAAATACAATCGAATTAAAAAAAAATACAAAAACGAAAACAGCTTCAACATAAATTAACCTTAGTTAAAACGAATGAGCTGAATCAACAACGTAATTTTTTACCGATTACAACCGAACTTAAAACAATTGCAAAGAAATTACATGTAGATGGAGTAAAAGAAAATTATAATTTAAAAACAGAAAGTTATTCTAAAGCGAAATTCTACCCTTTCATTGATATAAATGATTCTTTGCCATTTGCAATTGCAGAAGGTAAAGTTTCGAACCAGCAACATCAGCAAACATCAACACTCGAAAACAGTGATTTTGAAAATGTTTTTAATATGAATAATAAATCTGAAATTAGTAATCAGAAACAAGATACTGAATTGCAAGAACATTACATTGAAGATGTAAAGAAAATGCTCAATTCGACAATAGGTGCGGTGTAAGATATGATAAGCGTCAGGATAAGCTTTTTGTTGGATCAGAGCAAGTGAATTTTAAAGATGCAAATATTACTATAAAGAATAAAGTGTATGAAGCTACACCTGGATTATATGAATTGTTATTTAGAAAATATCCCAATAAGATATATACTGATAAGGACTTAAATAACTATAGTGATATATTACATAGAACTCACGCATATAAGAGAAACTTTAATCCGCAAGATCGAAATGTTGCTTCAAGATCTAAAAAATATAAACAAATTATTGCTCCATTATTACGTAAAAGCTATCATCATTCTCAACTTCAACGCTGAAAACGGGTCGAGGTATGTTTAAAGAAGTAAATAGAAATAAAATAGATTATGTGCATTGGGATGATCCTAATGAACTTGTTGAACGACTTCGTTTGTTAATAGCATCTCAAGCAGCTGGTCATACAAATCACTCAAATGAAATTGTTTCTATAATTGAGGAATTACGTGAATTCAATATTATAGCTTAATAAAACTTGTGATTCAAATTATAACATGTTTAGTTGTTAATGTACAATACGTGCAGCTGGTGCATATTGATTGATAAGCTTGGTAGTGTTTAAGAAATGAAACGTATGCAACGAGTATCTTATCAGCTTAAAGAATCTACAATTAAAAGTGATGTTGTCAATGAATTACACAAGCCTGCAAGACGTAATTTTAATAGACGTAGAGTCATAATAAAAGGTATTAATGACCTTTATCAAGCTGATCTTGTGGAAGTGATTCCTTTTGCTAATGAAAATCAAGGTTTCAAATACATACTTGTTGTTATTAATTGTTTTTCAAAATATGTATTCTGTGAAAAGGTAAAATCTAAAAATGCAACTGATGTTACTCGAGCAATGAAAAACATTTTGGAAAAATTATCAACACCACCAAAAAATTTAGAAACTGATCATGGAAAAGAATTTTATAATGCAGATTTTCAAAATTTAATGAAACAGTATGGAATTCATCACTACAGTGTTTTTAGTTCTAAAAAAGCCTCTATTGTTGAAAGAGTTAACCGTACTTTAAAAAATATAATGTGGAAACGATTCAGTCTTCAAGGTCATTACAAGTGGGTGCATCTATTAGATGATGTTGTAAAATTGTACAATAACACATTCCATCGCACCATTCAAATGAAACCTTCAGAAGTAAACGAGAACAATGAAAAAAAAGTTTTAAATCAAGCATTCATTCATATAAAATTAGCTCACAAAAAAATAAATTTAAAATTGGTGAACACGTAAGAATTAGTAAGTTTAGGAATGCTTTTGATAAAGGATATACTCCCAATTGGTCAAATGAAATTTTCATAATTAAGGAAATTAAATTAACCAATCCAACAACACATTTGTTGTGTGATGAGAAGGGGGAAGATATATCAGGAGGATTTTATGAAATGGAGCTTCAGAAAGTAAAACATCCCAATGTCTACTTGATTGAAAAAGTTATTAAGAAACGTGGTAATAAGTTTTATGTGAAGTGGTTAGGTTTTAGCGATAAACACAATAGTTGGATTGAAAAGAATAGTATTGCTTAAAACAACATGCATTTGTATGTGTGTGATATTCAAGGGTTTTGTATACCAGAATTTGTTGTTAAAGAATTAACTATAATGGATGCTCAATCAATTCAACATCATCTCTTTAAACCTTCGAAACCATATGAAGACATAGATTTATTTTATAGAAAACAGGTGAAATATCTGGAAAGATATCATCATTTACTAGGTTACAACGAAGGACTCGAAGAACAGAAGAATGTTGCGACAATTATTAGAAAATTTCTTCATTTAAATGAATTTAAAAACAGTGAAACTGATATCATCATCTACGTGAAGGGTCACGTAAAAGAAGATTTCCTACGAGAAATTTTACCCGACTCATGTGTACGAATAGTCAACTTAGAAAAAATCAACGAATCGCCCAAATTGTGTAAAACAAGAAGAAGATGTGGATTTCATATTGTAGATAATTATGATTTTATGTGTTCATTAAATAATGCTAAGTGTATTTATGAATGGTTATGTAAAAAACTTATTCCTCAATAATAAATTCTTTTAAAACATTTAATGACTTTTATTTYTTTAATCAGATTTCTCTCTTCTCTTTAAAACGTTCAGACATAACGTCAGCATTCTTGTTAATGCAGGTGTATCCAACACGTTGAGATTTGCGTGATAAGTCTGATTGCAAACTCCTACACAGTGCGGATATGAGTAAATACATAGTAGACACGTATAGTTTTGTTTATGGTTAGGGATTGAGATAGGTTAAGGAAAACGCATACATAAAAGTAAAAATTTATTTGAAATACATTGTTACATACGTGAGACAATGTTATACATTTATTAACAATTATTATAAATACATACAATAGTGCAAAACTATTCACATAAATTTATATGAAAAAAATTATTCTTCAATAAATTCAATTTTTGTTGTATTTCCAATTGCTCCTCTACTAATCATGAATAACTTTGCACCATTTTTAATTTTCGCATTTAAATCAGCAATTTCTGCATCAGCGAGACGTTCAATGAACCGATGCGGTAATATAGTAGTAGAAAACTCATCACAATCCACCATAACTTTCAGTCCATAAATTGTTGAAATTTTTCTAAATGAATTCACACTAAACTTTTCATCAACTTTAATACTTTTTATGCTAACAAATGATCCCATTTATAAATCTTTGTTCAAATTTTTAAATGCTGCACTGTTCATCTTGAATATTTACGTTTTTCTTGCACAATCACAAAATAGTAAATTTATATTATAACATTTAATTCGTACTGATGTGAATAGTACCGTAAATGAAGTAAAACTGAATTAAATATTAAGCGTGTTTCCTCGTTTATATAGAATAAATGTAGGGAAGCTAAGAGGTGAGGGGTACGGGGTTATTTTACTTAGAAATGTCATGATCTCAAAATAACTACAACGTCATCAGTCTAAAAATAGCTGTGATTCATCGAGTGGTGACTCATTGATCTAAAAATAGCATTCACAGTAGGGGAATCACATAATTTTCAATGTGGGATTCCCCAAAGTGACGCATGCGCAGACAAATTCAATGGGGATTCACATAATTTTCAATGTGGGATTCCCCAAAGTGACGCATGCGCAGACAAATTCAATGCATGACATCATGATCCAAAAATAGCACACAATTCTCAGAATTTGGAGTGGGGGATTCCCGGAATCCAGGAGTGGGATCCGGATTCCCGGAACCAGGATCCAGGAGTGGGGGTCTAAATTCCCGGAAATGGCGCATGCGCAGATGAAGTGATTTAGAATCGGCACAGCTTAACTACTATTGTTGCCAAATGCTCGTATGAAAACTTGGCAGCCAACAAACATCGAAGAAATAAAAAAAAA